ATCGTATATGTAAATGAACGCGGTTTTTTTGGAAACGAACGCTCGGGCAATACTTCTACTTTTTTTTTTTTTGCTCATAAAGATGGTCTGGACTGTCGCTATAAAAATAACGATATGTCTATAAGTTGTTCGCAACTACGTCGCAGCTTTTTGCCAATATAAGTGAGAATGTTTGCTTAAAAACTCAACAGTTTTCCTCCTTGAAAAAACTTCACTTCCAATTTTTTCAGACATTCGTTTTCAACACAAGTGGATCCAAAAGCACAGCCCGTACATTCGACCTCCGACAAGAAGCAAACCTTAACGTAGTCCGAATTTGTGATCGAAACAACGACTAGGTCTACTATATCGAATCTAAATGGCCGAACAGATGTCACTACCAAGAAGCGACTACTATCAAAACGCAAGAATGACGAGAACTTAGGCGGGAAAACTGAAAATTTCTTACGTCTCGGTTAGTGTCACCGAACGGCACAGCCAGATTGCCCATGGCACGAAGGATAGCCACCAGTGACTGCACTGTATTGCTGTACACTACCGGCTTGTACTGCTTGTAGTCCTCGGCCGTAAAGCCCGACTCGTGAATAATCCTGCAATTTATACCTGTATTAACTAATCATTTTAAAGACGACAATGATAAGGAACAAGTAGATCTGTCTGGCCCCATTGTACTTTGTAAACTTTCAGGCACAGGATTTGAAGCAAGTGAAATGTAAAAGCTCAAAAACGGTGAATTTCAAGACACCGAAACAGCAAAGGAGGGGAACAGTAAGGCCAACGTCTAGAATACACTGTATCTTGTAGTAAAACAAAAGAATATAGCATGAAACTGAAAAACATTAATATGCACACGCTTAGAGATTTATAGTTGATTGTGAGTATCCTGAAAAGGAAAATATTTCTAAAGCAGCCATTGCTGAGCAGCCATTTGATGAATGTGCCAGTTTTGTTTCATTCTGCACCTGATAAGTTCAAGAAGGGAGCTTGCCGGTATGGTAGGAATAGTGCCAGCGATCCGCATATGGTTCTTGTGGGCCCGAGGTCGATTTATTAAAAATAATTAAAACAAGTTTTAAAAGCACCTTTAGTAGTCTGCTAATAACCCCGTTTCCGTGAACTGTAACATTCCGGATTCTGCAGTGCAGAGCAAATCGAAAGCAAAATCGGCTTTTTCAATTCCTATAGCTAGCTCCCGGAAGGTAGATGCTAAATCAGAGCTGATCTCTAGTTCGGTCAGTAAAGGAAATCAAGTGCCACAAGACATATTGATATGTCACGACTTTTATAACAAGAAAAACCTAGTAAATAGTCAAAACCTTAGGCTTGAACACACCAAACTTACTGGTGCGGCTATGAGCAGTCAGGTCATCAACTGTATGAACGGTTGTTACTTTTATTTGGTTT